ACAGAATATATGGTTTTCTCAGCTGTTTTTTATTCAGGTAAAGAAATCCAAATGCAAATCAACAGTCATTATTATAAACACATTAAAATGCACATTAACACTTGAACAATAATTATATTTAAATATTCTCAATATCCTGCAGGAAATCTTAAAAATAGCACGACATTAATAAATGGAAGTGTCTGATGCTGTGGTATTGTTGTCGGTATATCATATTCTACTCGTGTCCAGCGTTGAATCTCTGTGTGACTGAACACATTGATCACTCTTATAATCTAAGGTTAATTATAAAAAACAATCACATTAATTAACAGACATCATGTTACAGTGACTGAGACTGAAGCTAAAGCTACTTCTACATCACATGTTTTGGGGTCATGTGAGGGTCAGGGGTCATATAATCAGCACAAAGGTCACAGGGTCAGTGTCAGACAGAAACAGTTCAAATGAATGTGTCGTAAATAATGTTGCATCTGTTCAGTGAGAAGGGTTTATGTAATTCTTGTGATCTGTGTTTATATGTTGTTCTTCTGTTTTAGTAACTGCTGGTTTTTATCTCTTCTTTCTTCCAGTTCTGTTTAAATCTGCCTGGGACAAGAGTCTGAATTATGGTGGATTTGAGGGTGTCATGATTATAGTCCTCTTTGTGATGGTGATTCTGTTCAACCTCTTCTTTATTATTTACTGTAAGTATTTCCTTCCATCAAGAGTCAGTGAGATGAATGTGCTGTGAAATCATGATTTACCAGATTAATGCTGTTTGTTAAAGGCACAATATATAAAAACCATAATATCAGACCTGAGTTATCAGTTAATTGAAGCATTTCCATTAGACAGAGTTTATAGAGCAAATATAATACTCAGAGTGTTTTACATAGACATGATAAAGAGGAAAATAGCAATGAAAGAATAGAAGAAAAGAAAGTAAAGTAAATCAAAGTGTACATTTTAAATTTATGAAATGAATGAAAAAGATGGTCACTGTCCATTAAAGGATGTAAATTGAAATGATGCAGTGCATCAGCAGGTAAAGTCTCTAGTTTATTCAGTCTCAGGCCATTGAGTGATTTAAAAACAAGTAAGAAAAGACAGATTCTCCTTGTGCCCCCTATTATCTGCAGAATACTCAATTTTTCATGACAGGAAACCATATTTAATATATATATATATATATATATATATATATATAA